GGTATCCGGCGCTGTCTCCGTCCTCCTCATCTGTCTCTATTGATTTGGGGATCTCGGAGGGATCGAAGGGCCTCTTGACCCGGCAATTACTGTTCTCGCAGCCTCCGCTCTATCACATCATTAAGTTTGGGAAGTGCGCGGAGGGGGGGAGGGGGGGGCGGCGATAATTACCGGGCATTTTATATGTACGAAACACGCTCACCATTCCGGCCTCATTATCTGCATGTTGTCACAGCCGGCGTCCGCAGCGCGCTACCGCGTGTCACCGGTGACAGATTCTGAGTATTAGTATGAGAGGACATTCAGTCTCCCCTCCCCCAGTGATCAGTCTGCTGCAGGCAGGAGGAAGCATTTCCTCAGTCTCCCCTCCCCCAGTGTGAGGGATCCCATTCATTTATATGGGCCACAGGTCGCGTGTGCAGCACAGCGAGCGGGGTATGTGCTGCAACACGCATCTGTCTGCATCGTGCATGGCACCGCATCACACCGATGCATGTATGTTGCATCGCCACGGCTTAAAGTGGCCCCCGTGGCCCTGACAGCGCCGGGAACTGACAGATCCCCATAATAGGTTTCCCATGAAATACGTAAACCTTGCCCCCGCCCCCCCCCATGATGTGATTGGACGATGGCGGGGACTCTCCCCCTCTTGTATGTTTAATGTGCTGATAATGGAATTACTTGGAGTGTTAATTGCAATAAATAAGAAATGCTTCCGGAACGCACCGCGCACTCCATCCCCCCCCCTTCCCGGGCTGTGCATGGCAGACGCATCCCCACCATCTTATCCCAGCCTACGCTCACTGCGCATTAACCCTTCGCTGGCCGAGCGTCTCGGCTCTTAAAGGGGAGCTTCCTGCTACTAGCAGCTAGTATGAGACCCCGAATCCCGTCCTTATATTGTCTGCCCGCCATCGTGCAGCCGGGCCCTGTAGTCTTTATATGCTCTATATTACCACAAGTATTGGGCCCCTCCCCCTCCAAATCATGTGTGTAGCTATTTAATACTGAACCCTGCGGACTAAGACTGGGATGCCAGTAAAGTTCATGTGCGTGTAAAGGCGTCCCAATACTTTTGGCAATATAGTGTATGTAGATATATGTGTATAATGGACGGTTTCTATGTGACTATAATAAATAAATATAAATATCACGCCCTCATTTACTTTGCTCAATGGTAAAGATTTCCATCATGTGATTTAAAGGATCACTCCACCTGAATGGAATCCTTTTGATTATAGGTGGGGGTCTGATAGGATTCTTCTCGGGGCTCCAGCAGCAAGTGTTCCCACCCC